AATTTGCATTGCACCTTGCGTATGGCTTAATACTTTCTAACGTGTCTACACAGTTGATTGCTTATGCAATGGAGAACAAGTGGATGCTGACAGCTCTAATTGTGACCATATAAATGCAGTAGATGCAGGAGTATAATGGCACAGCTATAATTAAGGAGCAAACATTTTTTTTTTTTTTTTTGTTGTTGTTTATAATGGATTTTGCACACAGCTGTACCGATGTATATCAATTACAATGGATGCTACTGTATCTAGGTATTGTAGATATATAAAAGATATATATGCAAAAACAGCTACAATAAAGTGAATAATGTGATATGATTGTAAAAATCTATTGTGCATAGTATTCATGACCTCCAACATAGTTGATTGTTTCAATTATTTGAACACCTTTGAATTTTTATCTCGAATGCATACGATTACATGCGCAGAAATAATAAAAGAAAATTTATTTGAATAATAATTAATTTAATATCGTTTTCATGAATTTTTCATAATTTATCAACAATACGTTACATCAACAACGTATTCCCCTTTTTTAAATCTATTATCTCAGTGAGATAACAATTCAACTATCATTGGTAAGTATATATTATCGACGTGTATTGTATGGCAAAATAAATTCGTTGAATAATTCGAACCAACCAGAAAAAACGTATTACTCTTTAAATCGCCATGTAAATAGTTATAATAATAAAGAAATATTAAAACATTTAGTATAATACTTTACTTTCATCGTATGCCTTTTCTTTGTTTTGAAATTATACCAAAGTAAAAAGTGTCATATATCTCCATGGTCCGCATAAAGTGGAAAAATCTCAAACTGTTCCACTCCAGATATTCTTTCGCAATTCGTTTACTGTTCCATTCACGTACTCGCACGTCCTCGACTTGTGGACTTTATCCGGCTAAGATATTGGTATTCGGTTTAAACTAGGTTTCAGCACGGAAATTAAAGATCTAAAGTACTAAAGTAACGTAGTCAAGTGTTTTCATTCTAGAGTAAAAGTTCGATCACTCCTTTGCTATCACTCCAATATTGCAGGTCTCCGTTGGTAAGTTAGTCGATAAAGAGGACATGAATTAATTGCACTGCGAACATTGTCCTTGATATAAAGATGATCAATTTTGAGAACAATTTGACAATTTTCGTTTTTATACATATACTGGTGATTGAACTACAGACAAGATATGGGATAGATCAATCATCTTATGGAAACTGTTGTCACACGATCTGAAATACCGACGTCGTCCAAAACCACTGGTTTTCAAGCGCACTCCACGCTTGAGAAAGGTCACTTTGAGAGCTGCATCGGGTAAAACGATTGATATTGATACAATTTTTAATAATAGTTATAAACCATTTCTGACTAATCGATTGAATGTAATGGTCAATTCAATGCAAAATTAATATATTAAGCTGTTTTATTAAGTCTAAGCATATAATAATTTTATTTAAGACTTCCAATAAGTATAAAGAACTATCTAAATTGTTATTTAATAAGAATCACTAATTATTCTACAATTAAATATTAAAGTACTAATAAATAATTAAGGTACTTGAAATAAGCCAGAAATTGTGATTTACTATCTACATTATTAGTAATGTTAAAGTAATTTAAAATGAATTACAAGTATTCATTAAATATAATTGAGAAACCGAGGATAACAATACCGAAGAGAAACAAGGAAAAGAATAGGGGTAAACAAGGATAGCACTAAAGAAATGAGTTAGACAAGGAAAGGTATAGGGTTAGACAAGGACAGAAAATTTTTAAAAGTGGAACTAACGCCATCTCGCGTTTGGCTCCGCGAAGTAACGACTCGTTACGCGGAACACAGAATGTGAACAGAGGTATTAGACAAGGAAAGCACTAATGTGCGAGAAGGATAGAGAGAGAACGTTTCCTATTGGTCCGCACGAATCTAAGGTCCACCATTCAGGCCCTAAGTAAAGTGAGCCAGGGAAAAATCATGAATAACTCAATAATTAGGAATATTTTGTGAACTTTTAGAATTGAGGAATAAAGTATGGACCTTTAGCAACTTTCCCATATAAATCTTAATGTTCTAGCACCTCTCAGTAATTAGTTATTAACAATTTTAGTAGGTAGTGTCGGGAACGATACCGCATTCCGTCAAGTACCTTTACGGTTTTTCAATAATTTCATAGCTTTCTACTAAATTCTCATGCAACTAACTATATGCGTTTGAAAGGTAACTCCTTTAGCTATATTCTTTTATCATTTTTATTAACATATTCGGTTTAGTTCAAGAGTTATTAAATATTATATGAGAGAGTCCCCTATTCACTGTACCCGTGTAGAGTGAACTGTTGTAAACAATTGCTAATATCTAATAAACCAGACCACTTACGGCTATCCAGCTAATTGCAGAATATAAAAGAAAGTCCATTCTACATTCTACATGTTTTAAAGTGCACAATTAGTCACGTATGTCTGTTGAATTAATGAAAATATGTGACGCTTAAATGCGACTGGTGTAATCCTCACTCAAAGAATGTTAAGTAACTATCAAACCACAAGGGATATGTTAATAAAAATTATAAAAGAATGTACTATATGAGAAAGTTGCTGAAGGTCCACATTTCATTCTTAAATTCTAAATATTCACAAATTCATCGTAAATAATGATATTAGGCAAAGAATACACTACTCTGTGAGAAAGATATAGAGAGAACGATTCCTATTGGCTGCCGAGCATCTAGTCTCCCCCACCCTCGGACTAAATAAGTCGAACAGGGAAAAATCATTAATAACTCAATAATTAGAGAGATTTTGTGAACTTTTAGAATTGAAGAATGAAGCGCATATAGTTAGTTGCATGGGAATTTAGCAGAAAGCTATGAAATTATTGAAAAACCGTAAAGGTGTGCGGAATCGTTCCCGACATCACCTACTAAAATTGTTAATAATTAATTATTGAAAGGGTCCAGTGCATTAAAATCTATATGAGAAAGTTGCTGAAGGTCCACACTTCATTCTTAAATTCTAAATATTCACAAATTCATCGTAAATAATGATATTAGGCAAAGAATGCACTACTCTGTGAGAAAGATATAGAGAGAACGATTCCTATTGGCTGCCGGGCATCTAAGCTCCCCCACCCTCGGACTAATTAAGTCGGACAGGGAAAAATCATTAATAACTGAATAATTAGAGTGATTTTGTGAACTTTTAGAATTGAAGAAGGAAGTGCGAACCTTTAGAAACTTTCTCATATAGATTTTAATGCACTGGACCCTTTCAATAATTAATTATTAACAATTTTAGAAGGTGATGTTGGGAACGATTCCGCACACCTTTACGGTTTTTCAATAATTTCATAGCTTTCTGCTAAATTCCCATGCAACTAACTATATGCGCCTGTAAGGTAACTCCCTTAGCTACATTCTCATGTAACTTTTATTAACATATTCGGTTTAGTTTAGGAGTTATTAAACATTATATGGGAGCGTCCCATATTCATCCTACTCGTGTATAGTGAACTGCTACAAACAATTGCTAATATCTAATAAACCACACCACTTAGGGCTTCCAAACTAATTGCAGAATATAGATAAAGGTCCATTCTACATTCTACATGCTTTAAAGTGTATAATTAGTCACGCATTAGCCTGTCCTTATCTAAATTAACATTAACGTTTAATTTTTTACCAAAGGTACTATATTATAAGTACAGATGTCAGCACTAGTACTGCCTGGATGATGCTGCCACCTAGTACTCAATTTTAGAACTAATCGTCACATTTTTTCAGCGTTGGATGATTAGTCTATTCCAGGGATCGGCAAACTTTTTTACTAGGAGGGCATATTTCAGAAATGCGGGAGTTCTTCAGTCATCGCAGGATGAAGAAGAGGGAGGGATAATATTTAAACATGAAAATATTAATGCAACATAAATTTATTACATAAATTTATATAAATTAATTATTTTTATAGATAATGTCACATGCGTAACAGACGCCGCTTGGGTTGTTCGGCCGTACCGACGAGCCGAACAATAACATCGATATTTTCAATAGACAGCACCTTCTAAAAAGCGAGGTCTTAGCCGGCATGGGCAAATTACTTTATTACACCAAAAATTTGACGACTCACACCTGGACACCACATGCCGGGACATGCCCTAAGCAATAAAACAGACCATCGACATCATCAATTTCAGACAAGCAATATAACAAATGTAAGAACAAATTTCCCACTTTCACACTACCAGCAGACACACCCCAGACACACCGAAAAAACCAATCACCACACACTTCCACCACCAACGACAGTTTTCGCACCTCCAATCACAACACACACGTAGTTTATAAAATAGCGAACAGCACACGACACGACACACAATTTTCCTATCAGTAAGCCTAGACATTTCGCGCTCTGTTCACGTTCATTCACAAATATGCAGTTTTAACAGTAAACTGTTGTGCCTTAATAATCTATCTTCCGAGCACTACCTGAGTCCCCTATCCCGAGTAGATTCTTTAAATGGTCTGACTCAAAAAGAGGGACAATTATCGGTTTCGCAACAAACATATCGCGATTCGTAACAATAAAATAAGAATTTTTACTAAAATTATTCATTACAACTACGAGTGTTTGTTATTCAAATATCTAAAATTTAGAATTTAGATATTTTAACGGCGAGCACTTTAAAATTGCTTCGCGGGTACCTTGGAGCCCGGAGGTACCGCGTTTCGGACCCCTGGTCTATTCTATCTCTGGTCTGTGCTTCAAAGTAGAGGCCTTATCTAAGTTAACATTAACATTTAATTTTTTACCAGAGGTACTGTAGTACAACTACAGATGTCAGCACTAGGACTATTGGACGATGCTGCCACGTAGTAGACAATTTTAGAACTAATCGTCACATTTTATCAGCGCCCCTGTGTAACACCAGTGTTGACCGTTTTTGGTTATACCGGAAAAGTGAGTGTGTTAATCGTTTAAACGTAGTTTTTTAATAAATAGCCTAAAATGTCTGAAATCTCAATGACAGAATCACCACATTTGCAACAAATAGATCTATCAACCTTAAATCCTCAACAACTTGCCGTGTTTAAACAACAACTGGATCAAGAATTAGGTGTTTTCCAAGATTCATTGCAAACTTTAAAAATTGCTCAAAGTAAATTTCAAGAGTCAGGATCATGCCTCGAGAAGATTTCTCCATCATTAGAGGGTAAGCTTCAATTAATATCTTTTTCTTGAAATTATAATGCAACAATCTCTTTAAACTTCGTTATATTATTAGAGGTTAGGAAATATGGGAATATTTAACCTCACAGCGTAACATCGTGTATGTTTGTTATAGGTAATGAAATCCTTGTACCGTTAACTGGATCAATGTACGTGGTTGGAAAATTAGCAGATACTAATAATGTTCTAATTGATATTGGAACTGGTTATTATGCTCAAAAGAATATTGTTGATGCGAAAGATTACTTTGACAGAAGAGTGGCTTATGTTACCGAACAAATGGAGAAAATTCAGCAGCTGGGTCATGAGAAGTGTAAAATCAGAGCAACAGTGGATGCGTTAGAAATGAAACTTCAAATGCAAACACAGAAAGATGTTTCAGAGCATGCATAAGACAACAATTTTATTAAATTAAATTTGTTAACATGACTTGTTCTTTATTTGTATAAATTTGTATTAATAACATCATTAAGTTACATTATTCTGTACCCTTATTATGCTATAATATTAATTATCTCGAATTTTAAATCAAAATTAATTAAATTTAATAGCCAGATCTGTTTAATGTTACTTTGTAATACTCGCTTTACATTGTATGAAAAAATACGATTTATTTTATTGCTACAATAGCTTGTTTTATGCCGAAATATAAATCTATTCGATAAATTATCAAAAGGGTTTTTACAATTATTAACAGTATGATAAACATGCGTTAAGATTGCTTGTTTGAGAATAAACAAGGATGTGAAATTCAGAGGAGAAAAAAGACGGAAGTAACGAAGGTGAATTATTTATTTGTTTCTCACTTAAATAAAACTTCATTCATAAACAATAACAGCTTTTTACCTATAAACGTGATGAGATACATTTCGGTAGCTACAATGTTATGGAAGAGGTATCAAAATCATTGTCAGGAGGATAGAAAACACTGTATAATAGTATTCGAAACAAGTTCTGGAATACTTTGGCGCGACACATCGTCAATCTAATACATAATATTATGACATGTTATTCAGGTTATAAATTCATCTCGCTGCAACGAGACACCGCAGGTCGCAATTACACGTAGATAATTCGCTAAATTTTTATCCTATTTACACGAATAACATACGGTCGATATTTATGTTAACGAAAAATTTTTCGCTCTTGCCCCGTTGCACTTAATAATTTCAAAATTTTATAAACAATTTGACCTTTCCATTTCGGTACAGTCACATGCGCATAAGACGAATAACGGGTTCATTGTTGTTATCTCAAATTGCACAGCAATAGCGTGACTGCGGCAGTGAACAAGAACCATCCTTCGAAGTGTTTCGTTGCTCCACCTAAAACAAAAAGATATATAAACACATTACAATTGAAACGTGGTTCTAAAATATAGTCTTGATAGTAATTTGTAGTGTCAGAGGAATGTGGTATGAAGAAAAAAAAACTATATTCGTTTAATGTATTTTTTTCGTCCCCGTCATATGTACGCAAATTATGAGAGACGTAAAAATATAACCTAACTTCGATTGTACTATTTTAAAAAATAATCTATAGTTACTTTATCATCATTAAATCCAATTTATTGAATATTTTATTAAATATTTAAAGTATATCCGTAAATGTATACGGGGTATCTTAGAACACTTAAATATATCCTTTATTCTTAATGATATCGGAAATGTTTCAAACACAGTTTGAATGGTTTCAAAAGGGCGGTATCGTAAACGGAAAATTTTGTTCACATTAAATATCAGGATTATTTAGCGAATACAAATGATAGTCAAAATAAAGGAATATGTATTAGAATATATAAGAAACTCATTAAATCCGATTTGATGCACTTTCTTCATATTTCTTCATTGATTAGATAACCAATGAAAACGTTCTTTGAATTCCAATCAACGATTCGCAATACAAAGTATGTAATTTAGGCGCGCATCGTAACATCAGATGCGTTGTTGAACGTTTGATACAATGGTGATGAAACGTCGAAAAATTCTTCCATAAAAACAAGACTCATACCTGGAAACCTCAGACAATATTAAGAGAAAAAAAATTCGAGCGATTAAAGGCTGTTCTTATATAATTATAAATAGTTCTGTAAAACGTACCAATGTAAGAAGATTCCCGAGTTCCTAATACGGATGCCAAACGTGGCCGTTCCTCGATCAATTCAACATCAGCCTGCTTTTTATACAAATGAAAAACGTTAGCATGGCAAATAATATGCAATCTTCCGTTATTAAAGCTATCTGGTATAATTTCAAAATCCAGTCCTGCGATAGTCATTAGCTGTTGATTGTCAATAATCTTGTCAGTTACGTTCATCATGAAACTGGAGTTTACCTGAAATATAAAATTTCATTTGTAAGGTACGAAACATTTTTAAAAATAAAATTACAAATATCGTAGGAAGATTTTTTTCTATGCATTCCACGTTAGAAAGTATTTCCATTGTATTTTCGTTTTAATATCAGCAGTGATTCACAGTTGCGTAATAGTACTTTAATTGTATTACGTCATTAGATATTTTAATAAATCGATAGTTTACTAATATTAATGAAATTAATATGTAAGAGATAAATTGCTTTTTGTATACGTTATTTCTAAAGAACAAGCGTAATTATATGAACAAAGTGCAATCCGTGAATTTCTTGCTTGTATTTTTGATCACTCATTTATTTCATGTTAACCTACAAATATGAATGCGTTTTTTTACGTTAAATAACTTTTTTAATATAATAGAATTTTTATTCTTTCTTAATGCAACGTAATAATGAAAACTTTTAGTAATTTCAAATAGCAAATACGCATCGTAATAAACAGATTATACATTGCTTTCATATTTTCATTACATTTTAAACTGTTTTATCATTATTACGTAATTAACCCTCCGTAGGCAAACTGAGTCGTTTATGTTCAGGTCTAATTAAATTGCTGTTTCAAGCTTTCAAAAAATCTGAAAAAATTCTACGATACTTATCAAAGTGTCTCCTGCATTACACAATTGTTTGTTAAGCGAAATAAACAATTTTTTTCAATAAAAATAAAAATGCTTTTCGAAGAAATACAAAAGTGAAATTGCGACGCAGATTGTCTACCGAGGGTTATGTAACTTTATTCAAATAATGTTAAATTTTTATTATCGAGTCGTTTTAATGTATTCTCTCTAGACGAAGTTTCTTACTTAGGCAGTAAGTTTTACGGAATCTGTGCCCGCATAATTCTGGCAAGAACATATGGTATGCAAAAGGGGTAACATATCGATCTGCATTACAATGACAGCTTATCGAGAATGCCAAACTAACGTGCCTCGAAACTTTCTACATCCATCAACCTACCGGTACTCCATTGACAGTCCATGTCACATTTGCTGGTGGATTTCCCGAAGGAACAGTGCAGTTTCCACGCACCGTGTCTCCCACTGCGTAGCGTATTTTCTCCACTCTTACTTGAGGATCGCTCTTCGGTAGATCTGAAATTCATTGAGTTTTTCAATGGTACTGAAAAACGAGAAAGGTCAGAAGATAATTACTTTTTTTTTTTATTTCGTATCTTTCTCTACGTCTTTCTTACGCTTTTCTTTTCTTTTAAAAAAAAAGAACAGTTTCAATGAAAGTGTTTTAACGTCAACGAGGGATCATTGTTTATCGTTTCGATTTTTTGAAACACTTGTTATCAATGAAATGCTTAGGGAATTTATTGAAAAAATTCAAAAGACAGGAGGTTTTTTTTTTGGAGGAATAATAGATATGTGATTCTGAATCTTTGTCTCAGGAATAATACAAAGTAATGGTAGATGAGCGATTGTTGGTTGCTATGAGAATGTTGGTTGGTAATCGTAAAGATTATTTACGAGGATATTTGAAGACCATGGTGAAAGAATAATTGAAAAATACGAAAAATGATCGATTGGGAAGAAGAACCATTTCTGAAAGAATCATCGGATACTAATTCTGAAAAATTTCGAAAATGAAGAACTCGGTCAGACAAATCTTATTGGATCCTAAAATTTTATGACAGTTGGTAGAATTTGATGTTCACCAAACGACTCGGAAAGTCTCTCAGAAATTCGAAGTTTGTCAATTATTTTAATTAAACAAAATAGTTGAAAAGTAACAAATATTTTCATTCCAAATTCATACCAACCCTATTAAATCAATAGCAAGTTTTCCTAATATAAATATTTTCATTAAAAATTGATACCAACCCCATATAAAAATATCAAATTTTCCTAATATAAATTAGACATCTTACTGGAACAAATTCAAATTCAAAGTTTGTCAATTATTTTGATTAAGTAAAACAGTTAAATAGTAAAACATATTTTCATTCAAAATTCATACCAACCCTATAGAAACAGTATCAAACTTTTCTAATCTAAAGTAGCTACGTCAAGTTCCTAAAAAAAATTCAACACAAAATAACTGTATCTCCCTTACATTTCATTTCCTCGTTCCAAGTTCGATTAAAGCAATAATTTGACATTGTTATCCCGATAAATTTCAAGATAGGAGAAATTCGCTATACGCCATTGTTAGATAAGATCGAAGACACTGTTACGCCATGGTATCTTATGTATTCCGTATACATAACATATGATCTATACATATATACACCGGAGGATCATTATACCATCCACAGAAGGCAGTCAATTTTCCCCTAGCGGTAGGGAACTGTCAAAGAATTGTCTCACTTCAGCTGAATGACTTCCGCCTGGTAGCCAGCGTATCGTCTCGTTCGTTGTTGCATCTCTCAAGGACACCACCGCGGTAGATTACCATTTTGAACTTGTTTGGTAATGTTGTGGACGATCATCTCGTCTCGTGAGAATGGAGAAAAGGAAGAAAAGTAGGAGAACGTCTGAGGGATACAAGGCGAGATTCGAAGGCTCGATCTAGTATCGAGCTTTTACGAGCGATCCGAGATCGGAAAGGAGAGGCAATCACCTCGTCTCTTCAAAGAAGAATCGTGGTTGTGGCGTCGTTAAGTCGACGTTCAACGAGAATACGAGACGGTGGGAACGAGACCTGATATTCTATCCTTTGCCTCTGATCTTTCCTTTCTTTCTTTTTCTTTTTTTCTTTCTTCTCCGTGTTTCGTTTCGTCAACTCTGTCCTTTGGTAACTGCGTTTTAATTGGCCACGATTACGGTGACAATTCTGTTCACCGTGTAGAATAATCAAGGAGGGGGGAGGGTAATGAAAGTCACCGACAAGAATTGAAGACGTCGGTGTGAATCGATGAAAAAGAAAAAAAAAGGAGAGAGAAAAAAGTAACGGGTCACGATTGAGCTTCTCGATACATCGTGGATCCTCTCGTGTGTGCTCTCTACAGTCTGACTCGATGTTTTTTTCTTTTTATTGAAAGTTAACAGTGCGTATTAAAAGTTCACCCCGCGAAGAAAGTAGGTGAAACGGCTCTGAAAGGAAATAAGGTTATGTTTACTGGGACGAGGCTGATAATTAACAGTAAGTTGGTTAAGAGATGCGTGGAAAATAGATGATGAAATGAAAGAAGTGTGTTTCGGTTGTTTAATGAGACCGCGTCACGTGACTCCTCTCTTGCTCGAACGTTTTGTTCGAAAGCTGACAAATCTACAGTCTATTTCGATATTTCTTTAATTACCTGTTTTTTTTTTTTTTTTTCTTTTGCCAATTGTCAGTTCTGATTCTGCGAGGATGAAATTAACGTTTACGACGATTTTTAGACGAGACAATAGTTAATCTGTTTGTAGATTAATATCGACAATTATGTACATTTGTATACTAGCATGGTAATAAGGAAGTATTGTGTTAATTTATTTAGCTAACGTTGAAATAGAATACGTGAGACGGGGGGTGGGGGGAGAAAAATATGAAATGAGCAGGAAATGCTTAATGATCTAACTACTTTAACCTTTAGGAAACGATGATTTATGTATATAATTCGTATTCCAAGGAGAACTTCATTTCACGTATTTTTTTACGAATATTAAACGAGCACTAATGTTACACTGTTATACAATTTCTTAATGTTTCATGCGAACAAATTATCCCCTCTGGCTGCATTATTTATATCACGAGTAAAGTAGAGATACGTAGATATCGGGAGTCAGTTAATGTCTTTTCGGAGCTTTATTATGAATACATTTTTATTTCTGAAATGACTTAATAATTATGCTTTCGCGTAGTAACAAGGAATGAAAGTATTATATGTTACATTTAAGAAGTGGAAGGAAAAAAAGAATGAAGTCGTTATGCCGTCTTAAAATTTTCACCGTCGTGTCCGTGTATAAAATAATCGAGATATTTTTTATCCCATTTCTTTTCCTCATTTGCATATTAGAAATTCCAATTTCAACGAACATTCGCTGTAATCAATTTTATATACGCACTTACAAAATGAGTAGGTATTATAGCAGCTTTACTACAGCACTATTCTCTACTAGTTTTCTCCGTGTGGATGAAAAATCAAATTAGGATACTTACTAGCCACGTACATGTAAGCAGAGACCATGATGGTATTAAACGACGGAGAATCACCGGAGACTTCGCAGCGGTACTTTCCAGTATGATTTGGTTGCAGATTTTTTAAAATTACGTGATGAGCGCCGCTTCGTTCTTTCTGTAACGTGATTAATTATGCACTATTAGCGAAGAATTGTATAAATTTATCAATTACTGTATTTAATGAAATTAAAAAAAGAATAGAAGAAATTATATAATTGTAAATTGTAACTAAACGAAAATATCAAATGAAGAAGTTCATTCATAGCCACCAAAAAAATATAAGTTCAGTCGATTCTCGTAAAAATCATTTTTAGAATGAATTTACATATATCGAAATTTAAATTTATAGAAATTCTGGCAAATTTAGCAGACTTTATCAGTATTTTCAAATTTCTTGATTTTCCTAAATTTCTCGACACAAAGAGAAATGGACTTACACCATTCTCGTAACAAACGAGTCCATGTAACAAAATTTCACGGATAACAAGCGTTATTTCTGTATTTATTACAAATATATATTTCTCGAAAATTACACACGACGACAAATTGCAACCAGAAAAAATAGAAAGGTTACACGAATTGTAAAATAAAACGTCAAACGTTGTCGTAACGTGAAATAATTGTTTCACGCCGGCACATTACTTATCGGCGCAGTTCGAATGAATAAATAAATTTTATCATCGATTGTCACGCGATAAACTAAATTCATATTTTTCCTCGTGTGTCATGTTAACCGAGTCGGAAGAACGTAATTAAATTTAAAATCGTGAAAAATATCACGGACACGGGGAGCAATCGGTTTGTATCAATCGACGTGACTCATCGATGCACTTTGAGTCAATTCGGCATCGATGATCACAGGATGGCCGAAACACGCTGCTGCGAACGAAGCGTGTATCATTTATTGCAGATCCATTGCACTTACTCCAGGTCCCTTTGACATCCTCGTCCACGACAAACAACAACTCACAACAACGATTAATTACATGTTGCCAGTGGCAGCGTATAAATCATACAATCAATTTTCGTCCGTGTGGATGTGTCGTTTGCGGCTTGGACATTTTCATGATTGCCAATCAACCGGTACACGCTCATCGTAAGAATTATTTTTACGCAAGTGTTACAGTTTTGCGAGTTTCTTTTTTTTAGTCTATAGGTTAGGATCGTTTGCAGGGCAAATTTGTGACGCGGAAGTTACATATCCGTGGGGGGAAAAACACCGCATAAGTCAGGCACCGGAAGCTCTCCGCTTTGTCGCCAAATTTCACCTCCACCTCGACGTCTCGAGCTTTTTGAAACGAATGGAAAGGGAAGAAATCGAGGGTAGCTGTTTCTACACTCTTGTCAGGATCATTAGAAACTCTTAGAACACCTAGAGTAAACGAATAAACGCGCCGAACGCGATATTTAGTGTAGAAGATTTTCACGTGTTGTGTATAGAATAAACTGGTAACTTGGAAATGACAGTCTGTTAATAGACACGCGTCTGGTTACAAACATTTCATACAGTTCACTATTCAGAATTCTCGCCCACTGTTAGGCGCGTTCCCATCACGAATCAACGATTCCGGACGCGAACAGCTAAGTAATTAGACGTCTCAGCGGGGAAATTGGGATTCTCGAATTGCCTTGGGGGCAAAGAAGCCTCTCTCTCTCTACAGTAATTCTGAACTCTACAAATTCACTGTATACATATGAGACGCCATTCTAAGCCGTCTTTTCGCTTCCTCCGCTTTCAATATCTCAGGCCGTGTCGCAAATTTCTTATTTCGCCGAAATATAAACATTCTGGAAAATCTCACATTTTCTAGAGACAACCCTCTAAGTATTTTCACGGTGCTGATTCTCGTGAGTACGACCGCCTACCTACTACTTTGACATAAATTTGAGAGCCGAGAAAAAGTTCCGGGGAACCCCAGAACCCAGGAATCGAGCCCGCGGTCCTTTTGCTTTCAAGCAGGGATGACTCTGCGCACTATGCCAACGCGCACTCTATATTTTTCTTCGTTCTTGCTTCTGTACCTTAGGTATGGAGGCCCCGATCCCACAAAAATAGGGAAATAAAGAATAAGTAAAGATTTTCAATTTTTAATTTAATAGAAAACAATCCCAAGTGTGATTTCACGCGCATAAAATTCTGTGCGTGATTCGAGTAAAATTGGCTAATTTTGTTTGTTATAACTGGTATCATAAACTGTGTTTCATTATTCATTAACGTGTTTACTAATTTTTTTTTGAATATGCAAAATCACGATAGCTGTGTGCTTCGAAAATTATCGGTACTGTATCATGGAATTTTTTTTAATCTGGAAACTATGTTGGATACACGTGGATATTAAATGATTCACAGGGCTTCTAATACCTCGCTGCATCCTGATGGATCATTAAACGTGCGAGTGATCTTCAAGAATGCACGATTCAAAACGTTGTCTTCAGCTACGATTTTTATCGTGGCTGTTTCAATGCTCCACTGTTGTGAACTATTTGAATAGACCGTGTCGCGTATGAAGTAAGCTCGGAGCATGCACTCTCCGAGTACAATGGAGAGCGCTGCTTCTACGTGGTATGTTACTAAGGATAATTGTGTGCGTGGATAAAGTTCAAGAGAACTTTCGGAAGAACGTAATTTTGAACGGTGTTTTGAAATGTTTCTGAACCGTGTATACAGTTCACTTAATTTGACGACTTGAAATTGTAAAAAAAATCTAATTGAAGTTTAATATACAAAAAGATACGCAGAAGCGTATTTCTCTATCAGTTTTAATTTCCGTAAATAAATTTAGGGTGTTCCATTAAGAAAAATCGTAGTGACTTTCGAAGTTTTATAAAAAAAATAATTATTGTAACGATAAATATTTATTTGAGATATATCACACTTTAACACTTATTCACTCAGCTTTGAATGTTCTTTTAATTTCCACAAACAGATATAGGGTGTTCCATTAAAAGAAAATCATGGTGCCCTCCAAAATTTCGTAAAAAGAAAAAAGTTATCGTAACTTTTGCTTATTGCGGATAATTCGAGGTTGTAAAGTTAAGCGAATCACCCTGCGTATTCTTATTATCTCACCGTGTTTCGACGCAAGGTGTGCTATACGATTCTTGTCAGGGAACAATCCGAAGTATTATTCAAAGTACACGAAGGTATCGATTATTCAAGGAGTGTAAAAGGAAAGAGCAATTTTCACGGGAAATAACTGGTCTAGTTTCATATGGGGTATCGTCGATCTGTTTATAAGAACTCCATAACGTTTTGATCTTTCGGTTTACGCATGAATCGGGTGTGTAATTTCCTGGTGGAAAATGTAACATCACGTGGTATTATTCGTGCACCCGAAGAGTTACGCGAGGGTAGAAGAAAAACGTATTGAAGCGGAATTACAGATGAAACGTTTCGTCGGGAAATAAGTAGGATCGATCGAATATCTGCGATCGAGGTGCAGTCACGCACCGGTACGGCTGTACTACACCATTCCGCAGCGTTGGTTTACACCGATTCAACAATTCGCTACTGGCCTCCGCGCGTAAATTCATCCTGGTCGACTGATAATTTTAATAATGTTACCATTTGTGAAATACGAAGCGGTAGTTCGCGATATCCTCCGCCTTGTTTCCTTCTGCAATTGTAACTGCGATTCCTTTACGGTACAGTCTATGGCAAATGTTACACTGTCGTTCTTCGTAACTATTAGGACACCTGTTATATTCGTGCAGAATTAAATTACATTTCTTCGGCAAACTTAATATCAGATATCAGAAAAAATATACAGGGTTCTGCCTCTATTAGTTTCTAGCAATTTTTTCTCGTAAATGGTAGGTGTGGGAGAAAAATAGGAGGTCAAAGTTTAATTATTTTTTATGTACAATACGATGACACGAATAGATTTTTTTACGTAACGACGGTATCGTGAATTTTATTCCATTGAATATAAATTTATGTAATTTCCTTTGTACATTTCGGTTGATCTAATATGTTCAAGAAATATTACTGTTAATGCAGTTACGAGAATATTTTTGTTCAAGATAGATGGTACCATAATTTTGTCGAAATTTTTAAGAACCTCGTTTCTGTCTAGAACCAACAATGGATTCTAGAGGGATTTTTAACTGGACTAGATTATGAAGATAGCTATTACTAATTTATTTCCTTTCTCCTGGATCAAAGGCACTTGGTATCTTTTGATGGAGGGTTTAAGACCAGGACGTTATTCGGTAGTTGGCTATAAGAGGGAATAAAGTGGAAAATATTCGACGTGGTAGGTATTCATATTGCGTCCTGATAACTTTTGGTATTTATATATTTTTAGGAGCAAGAAAAGTTACCCTTAAAGATACACCCTCTTTCATAAATATTAGGACACTAGATATTGTAATCCTCAAAGTTATTAAGATTCTAAAAAAAAATTCAGTATATTTTTACTGATATATTTTCGAAGAGAAATGTAATTTAAATTACACTCTACTTTCTGTACAAATATAACGAGTGTTCTAATACTTACGAAGTATTAGTGTACCTAACAGGATAATAAAAGGATATGTGAAACAATTATAGCTTTCATTGGGTAGAAATTATTGTTTGTATTTAAAACTGTTTGTAATACATATCTTTCATGCGGCGTAATATTAATTATAAAAGCAAACAAGGAAAAACGGTGTTGAGTGTTTGCTAAATGAAAAGCTAATTGAAATGTGATCGTTCGGAATAAAGTCAATTATACAGTTACTGTTACGTATATAAAGAAATATTTACCGAAATGTAATTCCTTTGGTAAGCAAATCAATCGTTTATTTTAAACGTAACAACGTATTCTGGGCATTTTCCTGGGGAAAAATGTATTCCAAAATTTTTGCAATCCAAAAATGTACACATCACACAAAACAAAAATAAATTTGATATTTATCTGTTTCGATTTAAAAAAACGTATGCATTTAAAATTAAAAATTGCGAAATTAATCATTCTACGTATGTAGGGTGAAATGAAAATTTTCGAAAACTTCTGCGAAACATAAATTATCTGGTGTAAAACTATGAAATGTATACACATCACGCGGAACTAAAGTAAATTTTGATATTTCCGCTTTCATTTGAGTGTCTAGTACGTTTAAAATTGAAAATTTCGAAATTAATTAAAAGCAGAGTTGCAATTTTCCGTTTTGGGTTTTCGCCGGATAGAAAAACAAGCAAAAAGAAAGGGTTGCTCGTGTCAGAAATTTTGTTGCACCCTATATTTTTCAGCCGACAGTGGTAGGTGTGCATTACGATTTATCGGTCCAAGGGCTGTCCGTACTTTCCGCCGGTAAAATCTAATTGGAAAAGCATTGCGTGCGCTAGAGCGCTTCGGTGGTTGGTCGGTCGATCGTCTGTGCTAGTTCGTGTACATGGAATTCGTGCCACCACGTAAAGGCTTTAACAGATTTTTAACTTGCGTCGAAACGTTGATTTTGTGGTGTCTACTCTTTTCTTTTGTCTAATACGTGTTGCGGACTGCACGCGAACAACTTGCTCGCTACTTCGTACTGTACCATTCATGTGTAGTTCGTAAATAGTTTTATAGGATCGAGGAATGTTACCCCTTTTTGCGCATGAAAGAAACATTGGTAGAAGAGAGGTTCAACTGTAAGGATTTTGTGGTTTACCTTGAATGGTGTAGTTGGAAATACGCTTTTTTCCACGTCTATTTTGTTGCTAGATCGTTGTAACTGATAATTATTGCGAATTTTCTACTTTTTTACATTTCTATTTGATCTAGGAAAATTTCTAGAAAATTAGATAATTAGCAATTAAGTGTAAACCATTGACATTTTAAAAAAATGTGGCGGTTTTATATTTTTACTAGGGAGAATTATAATTAAATTGATGATCTACGTTGATATAAAGTTAAATTAACATTTATTTACTACAGTTTAAAGATTTTTTATTAATAATTGAAGTTTTAATATTTTAAAATGATAATAATTCAAGACAAAGTGTGGTGTATTTAAAGATAATGTGAGTCAGAATAAATGAAATATTTGAATGAATAATTTTAATATTATTTTTGAAGAGGATTTAAAAGTAAATTTATTTACTAATTATTTAAATTGAAATTAGTTTTATTAGGTGTACAAATTTCTCTTCAGTTTCGTTAGAAGTGGAATTTATATTTTTACTAATTATTACTGTGTGGAAGTTAACGAATAAATATGTAAGAAATTAAAATTGCTAAAATGAAATACCTTTGGAACGTTTTGTGGAATTTTTTGCATTGGTTTGATATAGTACGTAAATTGTAGAATCAATAGAAGAATTCCGAGTATTATTCCGAGTTTTCGTTAGATTAATTAAGCTGTCCGGAAGAACACAGCTTGCACCGGGAAACTTCGAACAGTTTCAACTAATCAGGATTTCTTTCAGATCGAACGTTAGAAGTAACGGTATATTTTGCTTGGTCAGCAGTGTTTGTGCACGCTTTTAGCAAATTAGAATGGGACGCATAGAAATTTTAACATTCTATTGATCGTCGACCGAATTTACGTCAGCGTGATATCTGTATTCGTTAGTTTTTTCAAATATAAAATATACTATTTTTATTACTTTTTACTATTTTGCTGTTATACTATTTTTATAAAAATAATAAAAATATACGAATATGTAGATTTGTCTTTGATTAAACATCCCTTATTTAGCAGTCAAGTGTTGAATAGTTATTTCACGAGAATTATGACAAAATTTTTGGCGGAGTGAAAAATTTTCGACGATCATTCCATTAAAAATAATATTATTCTTTAGAGAAAATATCTTCGTTAATATATCTGCTTCCAATAAAATGTGCATACAATTGAAAGCTGATAACGGAGCACTTTAGAAATAACAAATTTCCATTAAAACATTTATATTCCTTGAACGTAATAAATTAATTAAAAAAAAAAAAGAAGTTATCACAGAATTCGTATGAGTGTAGAATGAAAAGTAAGATACAGCGAATCACAGGGAGAGCATTTAATTACTTATAAGACACAGTACACATAGTTTGCATATAGTTTGTCAGGTTCAGCTACATAATAAAGTAGGACATGAATGGTACTAACAAACTTTCACGCTTGGCGAAACTTGGGGAAATATAATCCGAGACTCACTTCCGTTTCCCCGGCTCTCAACGATTGCACGTCAGGTGCGAATGTAAAACGTGATTCGCACAGGGTCGCCTTCCAACTTTTAATAAGTAAGAAATTCTGAGGGTGTTTCTAGCTCGAAATAACTCCGCGACAATTCACCGAGCACCGTCCACTGGATTACTGTTACACAATCTTCAAACTGCCCTATTTAATGAACTTTCAGTAATGTCGTAACTGACCTATTCGATGGTACTCGTGAACTTTTCAAATTTATCAATTAAAAATTGCGAAAAGGAGACACTCTCGACTTAAGGTATAAATAAGATTAGATTGGAAATAATACAAAGAAAGAGCGAAAAGAAAAATGATATTGTTAAAATGTAAATCAAGTAATTTTTATTTAGAATAGTGGGAAATTTTAAAGGGCAAATACGTACGAGAACTTTGTTACCCAATTCTCCGAAAACACTTATTGGTGGCATCTCTTTGGGGATGTATCGAAAAAATTCAGGACCCTTGTACCATTTTACTGTATATAAATTATCTGATTCTAGATCGTATCTGCAGCTCATATTGACGGTCGAGCCAGCTGCTACGGCCAATGGAATATCAATAGATACATTCCTAAGTCCACGTACACCTGAAATCAGAACAGAACAATATGCCATCACTATTAATATCTAAATTGATACATTAAGCGTTAAAATTGTGTTATACAATGCAGAAACTATCCAAGTAATTGAAATTACCAGTTTCTTCATTTTTTGTCAAAATTACCCGAACGAATAATGCCGCGAAATTTCAAATTTTTAAGTAAAAATATTTTTCTCTCGTTGCATTATAATTCAGCTATTTTTTTGATGAACAGATTTTTCCATACGAAGCTGAATTAATTCTCACAGAACAACTTGAAGTACAACTTTTAGTGGCAATTGATGTATCGCCAAAGTTCGTACTGGAGTTTATAGAGAAGGATGGCCACTAGAACCTTCTTCTCTTTCCATCAATCTCCATTTCTGATGTTTCATTTAGTATATTCAATTGTGCAAATCTTTTATTTCAACTAAATGTCACTGTGTCTTGAGTCACATTTAAACAGATATTTAAACCGGTATCATTTTTAGTTTTATACCCTTATCATATGTTCTTTGATTAATTTTTAATTCAGGAAATATGACATTTAACGTTTCCTTCAAATGAGACATTTCTAGAGTATGCTAAATTAAATAAACCGTTTAAAAGATTTTCATTAGCAATATTAAGTTTTCTTCTACATTCATGGTATTCAGAAAATGTTCCTCGCAGGAAGGCGAAGAAGAGATTCACATTAATTTCAAAGCATATTAAACTTTTTACGAACTCGTTTACTCTCGAATATGAAGTTTTCATACTTCGCAAAGTATAGAGATACTTTACCTTTCAAATGTTCTAATTTATTGAAAATACGAACTTATATTGTCTACATTAAATGCTAAAATATAATTTATCGATATAAGTCAATTGCATTACATTGGTTACATGTGAACTTAAATATTCCTGAAAATGTTAAAATTCCTTCGTCAAATTTGATATAATTTTCTAAAAAATTGGTTCAATAAATTTGTGCAGCTACC